AATTTCTGACCAAATAGACTTCGAGGTGAAAAACAGCATAAGGGACAAACAAGGATGATATGATATGATGCTTAAAGGATCAATTGACAAAGAAGACATTACCATAATAAATGTCTATGCACCCAATGAAAGTGCTCCAAAATACATGAAGCAAATATTAATTGAATTGAAAGGGTAAATAGACAACTCTACAATAGTAGTAGAGACTTTAACATACCTATTTCAAGGAAGGACAGATCAACTAGAAAAAAACTCAACAAAGATACAGAAGAACTCAACAACACAATCAACCAACTTGACCTTGTAGACATATACAGAGCATGCCACCCAACAAAAGCACAATTCACTTTCTTCTCCAGTGTACAAGGATCATTCTCCAGAATAGATCATATGTTAAGACATAAAACAAACCTCAATAAATTAAAAAATATTGAACTACTACAAAGCATCTTCTCAGATCAAAATGCTATAAAATTAGAAATTAGTAACAGGAAGATCAAGGAGAAACCATCAAACATGTGGAAGTTGAATAAAATACTGCTCAAAAACTACTGGGTAATAGAAGAAATAAAGTGTGAAATAAAAAAATTTCCTAGAAACAAATGAGAATGAAGATACATTTTACCAAAACTTATGGGACACAGCAAAAGCAGTACTCAGAGATCTATTTATAGTGATAAATGTACACATAAAAAAGAGGAAATAAACAAAATCAACACTCTAACTCAACAACTCCAACAATTAGACAAAGAGCAACAAAAGAAACCTACAGTATCCAGAAGCAAGGATAAAATAAAGAGCAAAGTAGAAATAAAGGAAACAGAAAACAAAAAAAACAGTAGAGAAAATCAACAAAACAAGAAGCTGGTTCTTCAAAAAGACTAACAAAATTGACAAACCATTGGCAAATCTAACAAAACTAAAGAATGAGAAGATGCAAATAACAAGAATAATAAATGAAAAGGGCAACATCAAAATGGAACGAACTGAAATTAAAAAGATATTGACAGAATATTATGAAGAACTGTACTTCAAAAGATTTGAGAACCTAGAGGAGGTACACAAATTTCTAGAAACACAAGACTTACCTAAACTATCCCAGTTGGAGAAAGAATGCTTGAAAAACCCATAACAAAGGAAGAAATTTAACAGGTCATAAAAAAATCTTGCCACAAGAAAAAGTCCTGGTCTTGATGGCTTCATTGGAGAATTTTACCAAATATTCAAGGAAGAGTTGACACCTATACTATTCAAGTTATTCCAGAATATAGAAAAAGATGGAATACTTCCAAATTCATTTTATGAAGCAAGCATAACATTGATACCAAAACCAGGGAAAGATAACAAAAAAAGGAAAACTACAGACCAATATCCCTCATGAATATAGATGCAAAAATCTTCCACAAAATCCTAGCCAACAGAATCCAAGAACATATCAAAGAAATAATACATCCTGATCAAGTGGGATTCATACCTGGTATGCAAGGATGGTTCAACATCAGACAAACAATCAATGTAGTCTACCATGAGCAAAACAAAAGAACCATATGATCATATCAATCAATGCAGAAAAGGCATTTGATAAAATCCAAAACCTGTTCCTGTTCAGAACTTTTAGCAAAATAGGGATAGAAAGGAAATTCCTCAACATAATAAAGGGCATATATGCAAAGCCAATGGCTGACATTATTGTTAACAGAGAAAGACTCAAAGCATTCCCTTTACAAATGGGAACTAGACAAAGTTTGCCCTCTTTCACTGTTTCTATTTAACATTGTATTGGAAGTCCTAGCCAGAGTAATAAGGCAAGAAAGAGAAATAAAAGTCATCCAAAAAGTAAAGCTATCTCTATTTGTGGATGACATGATCCTATACACAGAAAACCCAAGAGACTCAGCAAAAGAACTACTGAAACTAATAGAGAGGTTCAGCAAAGTGGCAGGATACAAGATCAACATACAAAAATCAATTGGATTCCTCTATGTCAACAAAGAGGCCTGTGAAAAAGAAATAAGGAAAACAATATTGTTTACAATAGCTACCAAAAAGATAAAATATCTAGGAATACATCTTACCAGAGACATAAAAGATCTATATAAAGAAAACTATGAAACCCTACTACAAGAAACTACAAGGGATCAACATAAATGGAAGAACTTGTCTTGTTCATGGATAGAAAGACTGAATATAGAGAAAATGTCAATACTACCCAAAGCAATCTACACATTTAATGCAGTCCTGATCCAGGTACCACCAACATTTTTTAAGGACATGGAAAAAACAATTACTAATTTCACATAGAAAGGAAAGAGATTTCAGATAAGCAGAGCACTACTGAAGAAGAACAAAATGGGAGGTCTCATACTCCCAGATCTCAAAACCTACAGTAGTCAAAACAGCATGGTATTGGTACAATGACAGACAAATAGACCAAGGGAACAGAATTGAAAACCCAGAAATATGCTCATCCTTCTATGGACAGCTAATCTTTGACAAAGGTCCAAAACCCATTGAATGGGGAATAGAGAGCCTCTTTAACAAATGGTGTTGGCAAAATTGAATATCCACTTGCAGAAAAATGAAACAAGACCCATACCTCACCCCATACACAAAAACAAATTCAAGTTGGATCAAAGACTTAAATGTAAAACTCCAAACTATAAAGTTCATCAAAGATAAATTAGGGGCAAATTTAGGGGCCCTATTTTATGGCATAAATAGACTATCAAGCATAACCCAGAATGCACAGCAGGTGAAAGAGAAGCTAAATGACTTGGACCTTTTAAAAATTAAATTCTTATGTGCATCAAAAGACTTCTCCAAAAGGGTAAAGGACTTATCTCCAAAATTTATGGAAAACTTCAACACCTCAACACCAAAAAGACAAACAATCCAATTCAAAAATGGACAAGAGACATGAACAGACACTTCACTAAGATGATATGCTGGTGGCCAACAAACACATGAGGAATTGCTTGTGGTCATTAGCCATGAGAGAGATGCAAATCAAAACATTGATGAGATATCATCTCATCCCTGCAATAATAGCAAAGTTCAACAGGACAGAAAATAACAAATGCTGGAGAGGTTGTAGAGAGATTGGAACTCTCATACACAGCTAGTTGTTGTTGTTGTTGTTATGTGCCATCGAGTCGGACCCGACTCATAGCGACCCCTCCTTGGGTTTCCGAGGCAGTATCACTACGGAAGTAGATTGCCCCATCTTCCTTACGAGAAGTGGCTAGTGGGACTGTAAAATGGTACAACCATTATGGAAAATGGTATGGCATTTCTTTAAAACACTATAAATGGAAATACCTTTTGGACCAGCAAATCCATTATGAAGAGTATACCCTAAAGAGGTGAGAGACAGCATATGAACAGACATATGCATACCCAGGTTGATTACAGCACAATTCACTATAGCAAAGAGATGAAAACAACCTAAATGCCCCACCAACAGATGAATGGATAACCAAATTGTAGTATATTCACACAATGGAATACTATGCTGCATTAAAGAACAATGAAGAATACACAAATCATCTCACAATGGGGACGAACCTGGAGGACATTATGCTGAGTGAAATAAGTCAATTGGAGAGGGACAGATATTGTATGAGCCCATTACTGTAAAAAGTCAAGGAAGGGTTTGCTTAAGGAAGAGAACTCACTTTTCAGGTTACTGGGGGTGGGAGGGAAGGGGGGGATCTCCGACTAATTGAGGGCCATGCTGAGTTGGGTAAGAGTTTGTGACCAGCATAATAACATTGGGAAAGGGGGGACACCAAATTGTGCACATAAGATATAGATGACAGAGGCTAATACCAGTATATCCACAATACTGCATTACTATAAACACCAAACATCAGGCTACAGATAAATACATAGATAACTGAGAAGATCAGATGGGGGTCAGTGAACAGGAATATACTCTAGACCAATGATAGATTCAGCTGAAGATAATCTTGCACAGATACTAGTGATAAAAAATAACCACAATCATTATAGAAGCAACAGAAGACAGACATGGAGCAATCCCTCATAGACAGCCAGACATCTTGGGAGAGAGAACCACCAGATCTGCCAACTCAGGACCATAGTACTGGGGGGCAACAGGCTCAATTGGCACAACATAATACATAAAAATATTGTTCCACAACCTACTTTGGTGAGTAGTGACGGGGGTCTTAAAAGCTTTCAAGAGGCCACCTAAGATGCAGCTAATGGTCTCCTTACATCAGAAGTGAAGAAGAGCAAAGAAAACCAAGGGCATTTGGAAACAATCAGCCCTAGGATATGATGGATCTTGAGACCAGAAGAACTAAATGGTGCCCGGCTACCAATGCCAACCACTTGGGAAGGGACCAAAACTGGAGATCCTGCATAGAGTGGGAGGAAAAATGTGGAACAAAATTCAAAAACACAATAACGACCATAATTACTGGTCAGATGAAGTCTGGTGAGACTCCCAAGACTATGGCCCTTGGATACACTTCAGGCCTGGGATAAAACTCACTCCCAAGGGTTGGCTCTTAGCCCAACAGTAATAAGACTTACATGCAGAACACCCAACCCAGGGAAATGCACCCATGTACTCTATGGAGATACATCCCATCCCTTGGAACAATAGGCCATAGGGCACCAGAGGAGCATCATTCACGCAGAAGCTGGACAGACAGGAGTACATAACTAAGAAGGGCACAGGGATTGGGGGGGGTGGTCACTGGCAACGGAGAGGAGGAGAATGGGTCAGGGTTGGGATGGTAATTTGGGAGTAAAACCAAATGTACACAAACTGTTGAATGTAAAACAAATTCTGCTCTGTAAATTTGCACCGGAAACACAATTAAAAAAAAAAAAAAATTGTCAAGAGAGTTTATGCCCAGTGACCTCTGGCTCTGGAAATCCAGCCTTGCTTTCTGATAAGCCTACAATACTCCTATACATTAGACCATATTTTTTCACCAAAGTCAGGTCTGTGTTAAATATACACTTACTTGATCTGCAAATGCATTCGCCAGGGACAGATATGGAGCTGGGTATGTTGCGAAAATGACTGCTGTTGCATTTTCTCCCACGGTGAGCAATTGTCCACCAGCAAAGGACATAAGCCCATCTATGGAAGACAGAGCTCTCTGTGTTAGTGTTCTCTGGGTGGGGTAGAGGAAAGGCCTATATGCTAAACAACTACACTTAAACACTCAGGTGCAGCTTGGGTCATCAGTATTGTTTGCCTCTCTCTACTTCATAGAATTTTAGAGCTGCCCAGGGGAACCAGGCCTGGGGCTGAGGTTGGTGGGTTAAAGATAGAAAGCCCTTGCTGCTCTTGATGTTCCATTCTAAACTTGAACCAAATTCTGAGCCAGTGGGTCCCGGGACCCAATCTCCTTTTGGGGGAATACTTGAAATTGGCCTAAAGACAAAGTGGGGCTTAGACCAGCTCTAGGCAGAAGTCATAATTCCCAGAGAGTTCTAGTCAACCTCTATTACCACTCCAGAATTTGAGGATACCATAGCATAGTGAAGATGTCCTTTGAGCAAGGGAGAGGCCTTCACCAGCACAGCTGACACTCACCCAGTCCTCTCCTGCCACAGCTGCTGGCTCTAAAAATTTGTGGTCTGGTCTAAAGTTCCTCTTTAGCTCTCTTAGACTTTAATTCCTAGAAAGAAACTGTGGAGGGCTGCTCCTTCCCAAAATCCATTCCTCTAAATCTTGGTTCATAGATTCTAGTTCCTGGGGGTTTCAAATTGAAGGTCAAAATGTATTGAGACTTACCTTGGGTCAGATTGGGGGAACTATTTCAGCAGTTGATTTCATGGAACAAGGTTGGTTTTTTTTTTTTTTAAGTGAAAGGCCTTAAAAATAATCTAGCTCATTCCCTAGTTTCCCAGAAAGGGAAATTGATGCCAAATGGGTAAGATGACTTATCTAAATCATGCAGCTATTGCTGACACAATTTGAACTACGGTCTGAGTTTTCAATTGCCAGTGAAGTGTTTTTTTCCCCAGGACTGCTGTAGAACTGAAGCCCTGGCCGTTCAATAGAAAAAGGAGGAGGATCCCCATTCATTGCTCTGTTGCGCTCCTTGCTTCAGAGCCTTTGTCACAGAGTCCTTTTCTGAATACTTACTCATCATTCCCTTTGCCACCTGTCTCAGACCATTCAGAGAAAGCAGTGGAAAGGCCCCTGGCCAGTGGCTTATTTTGTGCATATTCACATTTTAGTTCTGGTTGGACCTAAGATAGGCTTCCCTTGAGTTCAACCCATTTAAGATGTGGCCATTCTCATTAAGAGGCTTTATGAATTCACCCTAATGATAATGTTTGTCTCCATTATCTTAGAAATCAGAACTCTTAGAATTTCCTGTCAGTTATAGAAAGCTTCCTTTTCTTGCCTTATCTCTCCTCTTTCTGCCAAGTAATTCTAACTTTAAATTTATGCCCAGCTCCCCATAGCCTTCAGTTTTAGGAGCCCTACTCACCATAGTAAATGCCAAAGAGGGTTGCAGCCCCCACAAAGGCTCCCAAGAACTGGGCTCCCACATAAAAAGGAAATTTGGACCATTTCATCCGTCCATAGAGACACATTGCAAAAGACACAGCTGGATTAATATGGCCACCTGCAAGGAAGATAACATGATTGTGGAGTTTAGAGGGCAGGCCAGGAAGTGGAAGGCTTATGAAGAAAATCTTATGTAGAGGTATCGGCAGAACTCAGTCGTCTAGTTAGAGAAGGAGAAAAGGTAGATAGGAGAAAGAGCTTGTGTTTGTAGGTATGAAGAAGGAAGAACTAATAATCTCCATGGCATCATTAGACACTGTTGGAAGTATAGCTTTTTGAAAAGAGAGTCAGGGATAGAAGTAAACTTGCTATGCCCAAATGGTCTACAGGTTGATTCTTGCCCAGAGGTAACATTGTGGGAGGACAAGGGGAGCATAAAGAAAGCATCTCTGATCAAAAATATCTCCTCTCAAGTATTTCCAGTAATAGGAGATTTATTTGTTTAACAAGCATTTCTTCCAAAAGAAAATTTTCTCTAGGTAGGCATCTTAGCTACCTTTGTTGTCGTGTGTCGTCGAGTCGGCCCCGACTCATAGCGACCCCTCCTTGGGTTTCTGAGGCAGTATCACTAGGGAAGTAGGATTGCCCAACCTTCCTTCCGAGGAGTGGCTGGTGGGTTTGAACAGCCAGCCTTCTGGTTAGCAGTCAAGTGCTTTAGCCACTATGCTACCAGAGCTGAAATACAAATACCACAAGTGGGTGGCTCTAAGGAACAGAAATTTATTTTCCCATAGTTCTGGGGTTAAAAGTCCAAATTAGGGTGTTGGCCATGTTGATTCCTTCCTTGTTGGTAGCCCCAGGCATTCCTTTGTACCTCGGCATTTCTTGACTTGAAAACAATCATTACATGGCATCTGTCTTCCCTTATATGTATGTGTCTGTGTCTATTCTGGTCTTTTTATAGCTCAGAAATGATTAGGGTTAGGACCCACATTATACTGGTATGATCTCATTAGCATAACAAAAGAAAATGCTGTTTCCAAACAGGATCACATTCACAGGTATAAGGTCCAGGAATTCAACACATATTAGGGGGTAAGGAGACACACAATTCCCTCTATAATAATAGGCTTAAGTTTTTACCCCTAATGACAGTGAGCCTGAGGCAGAAACTATTATTCACCTTGGACCTCACACAATGCCAAATGCTTAGGTGCCCACAGGAAAGCTGAAGAAATAAGTGATGAGGATTTTTGCATATTGCACAGACTACAGAGATGGGAAGTTGTTTGGGAGTCAGAGAGAGTATGTCAGGAAAGGTGCTATGCAAAGAAATGAGGAAAAGGGGCCAAGGGGTGGCAGAAAGCCTCAGAAAGGAGGCAGTGCAGTGACACCTGATTATGTGCCTGGGACCCAAGTGGCTACAGAAATTTTTCCTCACTGAGGTGAGCTGTCACCCTTGGCTTATCACAAGAGCAGAGCAATGCAGTGGAAAGAACATGAGTATTAGAGTCAGAGAGTTCTGCAATCCACTCTTTTCTCTGCCAAGGTGGTTGTGATGATTAGAGATTATTCATGTGAAGAGCCTCAGGGTGCAGCAGGATGAAAGTCTTATGTGAGCAGGATGAACTCTTTCAAAACTTTATTCTAGTTCTCACTCATAGACAAGTTTGTGACAGAGATAACCTTAACATCTTGTTATTAAGCAAGAAGAGTTTATTGCCTTTTTAATTATTTTACTTATATAATGGTACATCAACAACAACTACCACAGTCTAAGTACAAGTAGGCAGCATTAACATTTGGTGTGGAATGTTGCAGAATTAAGGTGTTCTGAGTTCTGGATGGCTGGATTTGACTGTCAGACTATTGGCACATTCACCAAGAGTGGGGTGTGATAACATCCTTGCAGTAAGGTAATATATTACATTTTAAAATCAAATGCCAGCTCACCACACCAGTCTGAGACCACAAAGAGATCACACTTCTCTTTATGCTCAATATATACTGTTTATTTTGGGAATTCTTTTTTTTTTTCTTTATCTCAAATGACTCAAAAAAGTTTATTTAAATGATAACTTTTTTTAGTATATAATTTCACAAACTTATTTCTTTTTATTTTATTTTATTTATTGTGATTTGGGTGAAGATTTACAGAGCGAATTCACTTTCCATACAGCAGTTCACATATACTTTGTCTCATGTCATTGACCACAGTTTACCACAATGCAACAGCTCC